TAGGATGGGAATATTTTGTCCCAAAGTACCTAGATGAAACCGTAGGCAGTGCGGCATACAGTTATTAAATGAACTGACAGAATATTTTCCCCTGATTTCTGTCGATGCTCTTCTGTGACTTTAGGTCCATTTCTTAATTTGCATAGTTTTGGTCACATCAATAACATTAATTAATCTCTTTTAGGTTATTACTATAAGGTGATCCAAGGTTTAAATTTAATTTCCTGAAGAAAATGTAATTCTGGCAAAAGCAATTAGAGCCAAAGTCATTGTGATACGTTCCCCTATCACTAATTCATCACTGGGGCCTGTCAAGTCTGTCTGTCAGTTGTCTTTGCTATTTTGGTTACAGGAACTTGCTCTGTTAGGATTCTGTGACCCTTTCCTTCCACTTTATTTATGACTGCAATTCCTCACCTTTGTACAAAGAAAGATATTTCTACATGTCCGAACTGAGTTCCTGCATTTTGTGCACAATTGGTAGAAAAAGGTCTATTGTTAAACCCAATTATGTTTAATGTCTTAACCATTTTTGATCATTTTGAAAATTTGTGTAAAGGTCATCCAAATAAAGAGAATTTAGATGCGCTTGTTGTTTCATTTTCATTTTTTGAAGTCATATGACTGATGTGTTCTTTAAGCAGACGGCCAATTCTTTCATCTAACTTCGGCTTTTATTTCAAGCCTGCCATTTATGTACTATACCTGGTGTCACACACTTCCTTTTTGCATTTTTTCCTTAATTATTTTAAAAAAAACTAGCAGACTTCAGCATCACTTAGAAGCAACACATGATAAGAGATTAATATGTTACTGTATGTCTTACCACGGACCCTGTTGTGCAAACACATTCAAATCTTAACCCTCAATCGGCCCTTGGGGTCAATATGACCCCAATCAACTTTTACTTAGTTTAAAAAAATGGTTCCCTTCATCTCAGTGGAATAAGATTTTGTGACTTTTCAACATTTTATATCTATATTCACAAAAAACTGGGCTTGATTCGGTTGTTCTGAAGGTAGGTACATTTTTTTTTCACAAATCTGTCCCTTGGGGTCAATATGACCCCACATTGAAATGAATGGGAAATGTGAAAAAATGTATATATATTTTTTTCATTTGTCAAAAAAAATTAATAAATCCGGCATAAATCAGAAAATTTCCACATCTTCATATCTCCCAAAACACAGCAGTAATGTATAGATGAGAAGTAAACAAAAAAATGATATATTATTTGTATGATTAAAAATGTATATATTTTTCACAATTACTCTTTCAATGTTTGGGGTCATATTGACCCCAAGGGACTTAAGTGTAAACAGGAAATGAGGGACGATTGAGGGTTAAAACACATAGGCGATTAATCCTGACAGTGTGTGTGCAGCCTTGTTAAAGATTAAACAGCTTGTTTAAACTTGTCTGGGTGAGAAAAGATGATAAAAGGTCAGGACATGTCTAGTCTAAAGAAAGAGAGATGATCAAAGAGGGAGGATGCAATCAAGAATGAACAGTCAAACTATTTTACTGTACATTTACAACATCCAGAAACATCCACAGACAAGTTGATTTGGCATAAATATTCTGAATAATGGTATTTCAATACTGTAATTGTATTTCTTCTTTTGATCTTTGTTTCTGTGCCTTTTGTATCTGTTTTCATATTTAAACCCAATGCAGCTCTTGAATCTATAAAGTTGCTCAGATTAAATATTTGTCATTATTGTCAATATGTCTAGTGGTAGCTAGAAGATTAGTGTTCAGCCGAGTGTGATGCTACCTGTTCAAGGAAATGAAATTCACGCTCATTTACGAAACATTTTGGTTGCTTTGAAATTCATGGTGGTTTATTGAGATGCATATAGTTTCCACCGCTCTGTGCTACAAACACTGCAGCCTGGATAATATGATCAAAGCACAGTTATATTTAGATGACTTGTGCACAATGACACACATCTGTGTGAGTATAAGGGTCAGCTCTGCTGACAGGGAGAATAAAATTGGTTCATTCCTCCGGCTGTTGTTGACAAGTAATGAAAAATGAGCCGCATATAGATATTTTTACAGAAAATGTTATTAGTGCTCTAATTAGCAACCATTAATACTAGTTTTCAGAAGTTTTAAGATCCTTTAAGTGACAGATGACAAAGCACTTCATGTAATTTACTATGAATCTGGTTCATTTTTCTCATTTTTTTCTTTCAAATAATTAATATAATATGTAATATATATAATAATATAATATAATCAAATAATTAAAAAGGTGGCAAGTCATTTACATTTCTTTTTATTTTATTTTGTATTGTACTAATATTAATCTCTGGAAATGCACTTTTAAACAAAGTGTGAGCAAAAAAAAAAACGAAAATTTTCTAGTAGGTAAACTTTGTGACTAGCCGTTCATTCAAAAGCTGTTCTTGTGGTTTCAAGTTTCCTTTTACACAACAGTTGTTTAAAAAAAAAACAAAAAAAAAAAAAAAAAACACTGGATTATTTATAACATGTAATGAGAACATTTGGTTTAATAACTTTAATTTATTTTTATATTTACAACTGTTGTCACTAAACATGTACAGTACTTTGAACCAGTTTTTACACTTCATTTTCCTCTCTGTACCATTCTGTCCTCCATTAATTTTACTGTGGCCTTTAAAACATTTCACAGACCATTTGAAAAATGTCCCTTATAAATAATATGTTCCATATTTCAAACCTATGTATTTTGTCAGAGAGCTAATCGAGCACTTCAAGGAGCAATTTGAAACTGGAAAAGCAATGACCTTGCTGAGTTGATTATCTTTAGGATTTTGATCGAGAACATATGGTGCTTTTAGCTCAAGCACAAGAGGAATGATGCATGTGTCAAACTTCACTAGCTCTTGTATTATTCCTTTCTCTGAGGGAATACCATGCTTTGGACCTAAAAGCTGAACTGTAAACTGAGAACACAATAATAGTACTCATTTAAAAGTCATAATTTCAGGTACTGGAAGACCTAAATGAGGTATGTTGGACTATGGGTTCCTTGATATGGATGCTTGCCCAACCAATTTATTTGGATCACTGAGCAGTGAACAAATAGTTGTAGTCTTAACAATTACTCCAAAATAACTAGACAGGCCTGCCAGTAAAAGACAAATATTAAGATTACACCACCACCAGAGAAACAAAGAAAGGGGATCTGAGGGTGCCTGAAATAAATAGTGTGACAATAGAAAGCAGGATTGAAGAGCGGAGGGCTTGTCAGGGTTGGAGATACTCTGTGCTGCAGAAGGCTGTGGGCTGATGGAGAAGGAGAGTGATGAAATGGGTGGATGACCTAAGGAGCAGCCATGGCAGGCTAATAGTTTAACTCTGACAGGTAACATACAGACTATAAAATTCCATCTATTCAATTCAAAAGGAGAATGAAACTCCCAGGAGTGGACGATCAGTGACAGCTTTTGTGAGTCTGAGATTAACACAATGTGTTGTAAAGGAACAAAGGCAGTAGTGTCCATAAGAGAGGGCTTTGCACAGTCTTAGTGTTAGTAGACAGTCTTAATGGGCTGTATTTTATATTATTTCATGATTTTTTTTTCTTCTGCAAAACACACACACACACACACACACACACACACACAAAAAAAACAGATAAAACTGTTTGGTAACCAGACAGCTTTGGTTAGTATTGAGCGGACAAAAAACTTGGAATGTCTCAAAATATTTTATTTTATGTTGCACAGAAGAAAGTAAGTCATAAAAGTTTGGAAACAACATAAGGGTGACGGGCGAGTGTAAGTGATTATGTCATTTTTGGGTGAACTATCCCTTTAATGGTGATGTTTGTAGATTTTCTCTTAACCATTCTTAATATGTAGAGCATTTTTAGATGAACCGTTCACAGGTTGATTTCTCTAGACGCTATAAACATTGTGTCTCTGTGATGCATAACATTACAGCAGTGTTCGAGCATGCCAACATGGCTACAATGACTCTACGACATGTGGCATGAGTTTAGGGCTGGACCTATTTGTACACCTTTTTGCAGATGTGGATAATATTTGAGGAACCTGTTTGAAAACAGTCATTTTTTAAAAAGAAGATGATAAACAATCTTCATTAACATTGCTGAAATATCCACCAGAGTGTATGTAAATGCCCAAAAGCTTATTTAAAGACAGATCAATGCTTAATACACTGTCTGTCTTCTGTTGTGTTGTCTGACTTGACGACTGACATAATAATTAGTGTCCATTAAGTGAGAACACAGCCACTTAAATCTCCCGGTGCTGACAATCAATAAACCCAACTAATCACATAGAGAGAAAGTGACATCCCTGGCGACACAAGATTTGTTCTTCAATTGGACTATTAAGGATTTGTGTGTCTTAAGACTCCATTATCACTACCGCAGTCTCTGGATCTTATCACTCACAGGAGGATTATTAGTATAGTCACCTTCTATTTGACCAGCCGGTGCAGGACAGATGGTGGAACTTACGCTTGATTACATTGCCATCTTATTTTTCATTCAGTGCTGTTTTTTGGAACTGAAAATGAAGGGAATTAAGATAGCAGCAAATTTCTATTAACACTTGTTTAAATTGCTTTATATGTTTTCACCTAAATGTGTTTGTTTAACTCACGATTCTAAACTTGGGTTCTTATTGCACAGAATATTATGTCTTAAAATAATAGATTACATTTTACTGTCACTTTATCTCTAGCCAATTGCATGGAGTTTGACACACACTTTGACATCAGGTGCAGACTCACACACACACACACAGATACATAATGAAAGAAAGCAGGGCTATTGTGTAACAGCCATAAAGTAATTTGCACTAGTGTTCTGTGAGATGCGGCTGTCCGTAGCACAAAGTCGAGGTTGTACAGTGGACTGACACTTTGGATTTTGAGGATTTATGTTTTTGGATATTGAGGTGTGAGTGTGTCTGTCTCTGTGTTTGTGCTTACATGTAGATCTGAATGAGCTACTGAATTATCTGTCAGAGAGCTCAATGAAGGTGTGCGTGTGGGCCTCATTTCTGCTGTGTTTCCTGGCGAGTGTATCATCTACGCCATGTCTGCCTGAGGAGTTTACTTGTGCAAGAGGCGGCTGTGTATCTGAGGAACATATGTGTGATTTCAGAGAGAACTGTGAAGATGGCAGTGATGAGACTAACTGTAAGTATTAGTCTGTAAGTTTGTCTTATCTGCTCTTCAGCTCCCTTGTCTGCTCTTTTATTTGTGTATGTTTCCTGTGCTTATGCAGGCAATTCTTTTTTCCCTCTCTGTTGGCAACATGATTTTAAATGCTCCTAAAGGCCCTCATGTGTAAATAGTGAGATTTATGGCACACGCATAAAGGAGCGCACTGGGAGGTCTTACAACAGTGCTTTTATAATATTGATTTAATCCTTCTGGGGCTTTTAAAAGGCAGAACATTACAGAATTGAGGTTGATGTATTAGGGTTGACCACTATTGCTTTTGTTTTGCACCTTCATCCTTTTAATGATGCTCAGAAAAGATTTTCCATTAGCATTTTCATTTTCATCTTATGTTGTCCATGTAAACACAGAACATTATATTATATAATTCGATTTTTTTCATTTTGCATCTCCTGAATCTATTTTGTGACAACAGATTTTAAATCAAGCGCATATTAAATGTGTTATATGATGGATGCCGTACAGAGTTGCATGTTTTTAATGGTGTCTCTGTAACAGATTTTAAAGGATTAGCAGACACCAGTGTTTATTTTATTGTAATGGCCTGATATAGCTTTGACTTTCCTCTCATATAGGCTCTGAGTTTGTGAGATGTGACTTTGATGAAGGCTTTTGTGGTTTTCAACTTCAAAATGAACATCATATTTGGATAAGAGGATCAGGTTTGAACCATCCCAGTACTGAGACCGACCACAGAGAAAATGTTAATGGTAAGTAAAACAGTTCGTCTTATATCTGTATGGATACCACTTAACTCTATAAAACCCGATTGTTACGGAGTGACTGAGAGAGGCGTGCAGATCCATATGCAAAGCTTTTATTAAAAGACGTGGTCAAAAACAGGCATGAGTCAGACAATGACAAACAGGTATATTGAAGACAAGACAAAAGAGTAGTCCGGTAAACAGGCGTGGGTCAATCGACGGCGAACGTAATCCAAAAGGGGCAAACAAAGTCCAAAACGGCAAGACAAAAGGATATCCAAGACAGGCAGGTGATCAGGAAACAGGCTACCAG